CCTTCCGTCACTTCAGAAATATCTGAGGTCAAGTGTGACTCCTTCTATCCTACAGACAACTTATATTATACAATCTTGAACAATTAAATAAATTATTCTGCTCAGAAAAGTTCAAAAAAATTATTTTATCATAATAAACTGAAATGTTACTAATTATCTAAGTCGAGACCTTAAATAATTAAATGTTGCTTATTAAACTTAACTGTGATTCATGGTTAATAAAAATTAAGTTATCAAAACAAAATTTATAATGTTCTAATGAACTTGAATTTACTTGTCCAGCCTTAAAATTATGTAATAATTAAATCTTCAAATAATGTTATATTTTACTCATCAACTTAAAGTTGCCAAAACTTTCTATATGATTTCCCATTTCAAGTTACCCAACCACCATATTCCTCTTATGTTCAATCTATCCTTGGGTTGCATGCCAAGAAACCCAGAAGATATTGAAATCTCAATAGTGTTATGTCCTTCAAAGAAACTAAAATTGACACTAAACAGTATAAAGTATCAACATTGAATGGTTTCATCGCCCAGGATTCAAGATTCTCAACTACTTAATCAGTTGTATTTATTGTTTGATATAAATATTTACAACAACTGTTTATTTTATTACACACAATAAACTAATAAAAATCATTTACTTTATCTAAGTATACAATTGCATACAAAATAGCAACTAACATACAACATACCATTATATTACATTTTGAAATAATGCCAGACTTTTTAACCTTTGACCTTAACATTTTAAAAGTCCTTTTGAAATTTTAGTTATATTTATGAAGTAGATTTTGATGTATAATTCTTAACTTTTAACAATAGTGAGTAAATACTATTCCCTACTTAATTTATGTTAAAATAGAAGAAATATTCAAACATTTTTTTATAATAATATACGGATTTGAAACCCTTTTGAAAATGTATACAAATTACATAATTACAATAACATTCATTAATTAAAGTATAATATTACTTTTACAGTTTAAAAAAAAAATTGAAATTTGATCAATTAATATTTAGGGCCTAGAGAATTAAATTTAAAACAATTAATAAAACTCATCAATGATTATAAGCTCCCTTAAGTTGTCTAAAGCTCTATTACAGACCAGACATTTTCGCAGTTGGACCCAAATGAATGATTTTAATTACGTAAAATTATTGATAACTAGTGTCTTAAATGAGGTGATAAAATTGGCACATATGTTGGTTTAATATTACGTACACCATGGCTCCTGATCGAACCAAAAAAGTTTTCAATTGGATCCTGTTTAAAATTTCTTAATAATACGTATCCCTCCTCCCAAATCATTGAGAAGCCTTTTGCAAAGTACTTGTAATCCTTTAATAGTTTYAATCCAGTTTATACAACAGAAAGAATTACTTTTTTGGTTTTTGTCTCATACTGCATACCTACTTTGT